AAGAGTTGTTTGGGTTGACCTAAATACATTTTTATTTGATCTCTTATATTTTATTTTTGTATGGGAAACTATTTTAAACCAAAAATTTAATTTTTATAAACAAGTCATCAAAACTGATACCTTCATATCTCAGCAGTTTGAGCTTTGATGAATTGACATTAACCAACAGAAGAACATTTAGTTGAAAAATTTCAATCTAGCCATAATTAGAGCTTTTGTTAGCTTTCCATCTTTACTTGGATTTGAAGATCTCTGGACTTCTTGAAGACAGACAGTTCATTGCATTGTTCATTCAGAGAAGGGAGCTGGGAATAGTATCAGCTTTGTGGCCCAAGAAGGATGCTAAAGCCACTGGTTGTCACAGATTTGGGGAAAATTAACCTCTAACAGGTCTTGAGGGTGTGTGTTGTGCATGTGGTGGCTCTCCATGTATGTTTACCACACCCCTTTAGCTTGTTAGTCTTTGGTTTTAGGATGATCTTTGCAGAATGTTCTTCTAATACATGCCCTTGTTTGTCATTGGTTGTAGGATGATCTTTGCAGAGTGTTCTCCTAACACATGTCCTTGTGGAGAACAGTGTTGTAACCAGCGGATTCAGCGACATGAGTGGGTGCAGTGTTTGGAACGTTTCCGTGCTGAAGAGAAAGGTTGGGGTATTCGCACCAAAGAGCCTTTAAAAGCAGGACAATTTATCATCGAATACTTGGGAGAAGTTGTTAGTGAGCAGGAGTTCAGGTAGATGCATTTCATTGCTATTTGGAATGGCAAGCTTACTAAATATCTTTGTGCACACTGAGAAATTAGTAACCACGGGTGAGAAGGGAAGAAAAGGAGACTGTTTTTCTGTCGGCCTACAGGTGAAACTGTAGAATTTAGCATTTTAATCAACAAACCTTCAGTCTGGAACTCAGTTTTAGTCTCTGTAACAACATTTGCAGGGTCTCTTCTGTATATGTTCAGTGCCACAAGTGAATGACTTTGATACAGAAACATGCGCTGTGCAGGATTCCAGTTATACAAAGCAGAATCAGCAAGTAGCATTGGGCAGGAAAGGAAATGAGTCTTCACAGATGGACAGGGAGACAAAGAACAACAGCTGGGAGCATTAATACCCAAAGAAAGGAATGAAAGCCTACTCATGTTAACTACATGCTAACTACTTCCAGAGCTCAGTGAGAAGGCAGATATAATGTTTGCCTGTAGAGTTAGCAGCTAGCACAGCTGACCACATTTCCTTCCTTCCTGCATGGAGACTTCTCTAATTCTAGGAATGTGTGTCCAACCACAGAAAACCAAGCTGTGAAGGGGCAGGGATGATGGGTTTTTGAGAACATACAGAACATTGTGTATACATACACATGTATAGTCTTCTTCCAGGTAATAAAGGTTACAATTAATTTGCAGAACCTGTGGCAACATAACCAAGTGGCAACAAGCTTCCAAACTCTCACCTTGCTCTGGTAGTGGCCTAGATCATGCCTTGGTCTTTCACTGTTTCTCATTCACCTCATCTGTAAATTGGAGGTAGTAATGCATATCCTACACCTCTTGATGGAAGGTCCTAAATAAATGTAAAGTGCCATTAATATTTTCTCTCTAAACCACCTTACCAGATTCCTGCACACTGTTACCATGTTTTTCCTTGTTTGTTTTCCTGTAACAGTCAGAATCACAAATAACTTCCCTGCATTGCCTCCTAGGAACCGGATGATTGAACAGTATCATAATCACAGTGATCATTACTGCCTGAATTTAGACAGTGGAATGGTAATTGACAGCTATCGCATGGGCAATGAGGCTCGATTTATCAACCACAGCTGTAATCCTAACTGTGAGATGCAGAAATGGTAAGAAACTAATTCTGTATGTACCAAACCACTGGCTATAGCAGTGACTAAGGGGGTAGGTAGGCTATGTACCTTGGAGAAGCAAGTCTCTGAACAGGGCAAGAGATAAAATAATTTACTAAGGTACTTGTGCTGCATAAAACTTGCGTGTATTGCTGCCTCCTGCCTGCTAGACAGTTTTGAGGCAGAACCTAAGTACTGTGTTCTGGCAGCAGTTACAGCATGTCAGCTGTCATATTACTAACCTGCTTTAACATGGGCAGGACTCCATGGTGCAGTAAAGTAATCTGCACGCTTGCTTCTTCTGGCAATTAAAATGTACACAGGAGTAAGGACAGTGTACATTCTGCATTCCATTTTGAACAGAGAGGCCTTGTGCTAAGGTAGCAGGGGCTGTTGTAGGTATGTATTGAGCATATTGGAAGAGAATTGTGGCTTTGCTGTAGAATGTTGGTTGTGTATAACAAGATTCAAACGTTGGTAGCATAGTGAGAGAGCTTGCCGCACTTGTCTAAACTTGTGGCTTTAGCCAAAACTAATTAGTCTTTAATTTATATAAACATTAAAACAAAAGGCAAAATAGTGCAAAAAAGATTTTAATAAGTTTGTCAAACTATAAGCAGAGAATTTGTGGCTCAGAATGAAATGCTGCAAGGAAGTGATTTTTGGCATTTGAAGTTGGGTGTTGCAGTGACTAATGTAATGTAGCTCCTCTCCTGAATCATAGTTTCCTGTTGTTTGTCAGTGCAACAGGCATTTATTTGGTTTCAAAAAGAGTTGGTGTGAGAGTGGACAAACAAAGGAGAGTAGTAAAAATTAGGAACAAGTTGTTCAAGGCCCATTGACATCATTGGTTACTATATTTAACCTCTGTTAGGTGGGCAAAGTCAGTTTTCCCTCTGTCTCATTCCTTTGTCACTGTTTCTAGACTTTGTTGCCCCAATATGGTAATTCTTCCTTTTTTTGTGTCCTTGTGACAAGGTATTTAGCAGAACTTGCAGATTCATTGGAATCTGACAGGTGGTGCCATGAGTACTTCTGCTGTGGCCTTGAACTTGCAATGCTGGGCTATCAACTATGTGCCCTAGCACTCACACCACCCCAGCACCCAATATGGTAATATAAGCGAGAAAAGTTTCACACTTATTTTTTCTTCAGGTCTGTAAATGGTGTCTACCGAATCGGACTGTATGCACTTAAGGATATGCCTGCTGGCACTGAACTGACTTATGACTACAATTTTCACTCATTTAATGTTGAAAAACAGGTAAAGATCAAACTACTCAACTTCATTCAACTGCATGTCTGTGCAGGTTGTTTTGGAGTGAACTGGTATCCAAGAATAGGGATAGATTCTTCAAGCAGTATCATAATTTAATTAAAAAGAACTCTCCTTTTTCTTTCAAAGCAACTGTGCAAATGTGGTTTTGACAAATGCAGAGGAATAATAGGAGGCAAGAGTCAGCGGATGAATGGACTGTCAAGTAAAACCAACCAGCCCGTCACCACACACAGGAGGCCTGGGCGATCAAAAGAAAAAAGGAAGTCGAAACATAAATTAAAGAAGAGGGTGAGTACTGGGACCAGCTTCTCTTGCACTAACAGGTTACTGGGAAGTCAGTCTGTAACTGAGACCACTTGTGCATGTGTATGCATAAACAGGAAACCAGATCCTGCTCTAGGAGTTATTGCCCATGTGAGTCCTGGCCACATTTGTACCTAGTTTCTCTCACCAGAACTGGTCTGTTTTGCAGAAGGGCCACATGCCTGAGGAACCCAGTGAGAGCGTGAGCACTCCAACCCGGCTGACCCCACAGCTGCAGATGAAACCCATGTCCAACAGGGAAAGGTAGGGATGGATTTCAGTGTTTTGTTTTGCCTTTTTTTCTCCCTAGCAATACCAGGCTTTAAAAATATTGAATTTTTTTTGTTTTGTTTTTTTTTTGCTATAAGACAGGGCGTCATAGAGTGTCCTGCTGAGAAGGAAAGAATGCTGGGATCTGTTTTAAATGGACCATTCGTGACGAGGGAATGTGCTTACTCACATCTGGGGTGACAGGATCTGTTGTCCTTAATCTGACATTAGAATCATGATCAGTGTGGTAGGAAGGCAAATGCACGTTCCACATCAGTGTTCCTATTGCTCCCAGGTCATGGATAACTGTTACTCCTAAAAGTAGGCAAACCTGTTACTAGCCAGTACAGAAAGCCTCAGTCCTCTTCAGCTGATTTTTTTCAACAGTGAATCTGCTTTAAGGAAGCATGACTGACCAACGTGAGGCATGAGTCTGTGTGGAACTAGCCCCCAAGAGGTCCTTCCTGTGCAGCTAAGTTTGTTGAGTTAGTACTGCAGGCAACAAGTGTAATTCTGCAGGCAGTGATGTGTTTATTTAAACTCCTTTTAAAATAAGTGATAGAGATTTTGTAATGTTTTGTGGAACAGATAATAAAAGTGAGAATGGGTTCCAAGAGAGTAAGTTCAGTGCTCTAGCACTGTCGATCAGCACAGGGTACAATGATGCAATTGTCATAGCACAGATTAACCATAAAGATAAGGTTCAGCATGGATCCCACAATTTCATCTGGGGCCTATACCAGTTACGGCTTTGTAAATCAACACAGCCACTTTAAACACAGTCCACCACTTTCCCAGGCTGACACTACCAATCATAGATCATGTGGGGAGTCAGTTGCTGCATTATGCAGTAGCTTCTTAGTGGTAGCAAAGCTGAAGGCATAGTATGTGAGAATAATGATAATGACAGCTTGCAAATACATCCCTTTCTTTTGTTTGATTATCGCAGAGTAAAGGCAGCTAAGTGCATAGGCTGTGTAAATTGTGCAGCTAAAAATCATGGCTCTGTAGCAGAAATAATCCAGGTTTTGTGGAAAGAATGTAGCTGAAAATAAGGAAAGCTAGCTTACAACTTCCAGTGGTACCATGCTGTAAACAGGTGCACAAGAAAGAGACTCTACCCATTGTGATTGTCCCAACCCAAAAGCAAGGCACACCACATGCTTCTCAAGAACTCTCTTGATGAAAAAGTTATTTGGGCACATGTAGGTATAGATACCTCTTTAAGTACATATATGCCTCTTCCACACAAGGCCAGAATTGACTTTAATAGTTTTTTCTGTTGGGGCTGTGCGTGTACCTTGTGTCTCCATGGGTTCCTGTGCAGGATCATGAAGGGCAGAGCGATCACAGTCTCCCTTCATTCTTATCACAATGGCAGTGCAGCACAGCAGTTCAGAAGATTGCAAGCTCATCTGTTTGAGGTTAACACGCATCTAGAGGGGATCCAAAACCTGTTACTGTAGTGTAAGTGATTATTGTTCCCTGTCTGTACCTCCAGATGGAGTTCTAGTCTGCCTAAAAATCATAGCCTTGGGTTTCCCAAAAGTACTTCCAAAGACATCGGGGGAGGGCAAAAACTAAGCTCTTTTCTGCTGCTTCCCAGGTTAAGATATTAACATTACACAGTGAAGTGATTCCCAGTGCTCTTCTGTTTTTTGTAGGAATTTTGTGCTAAAGCACCACGTCTTCCTGGTACGGAATTGGGAGAAGATTCGGCAAAAGCAAGAAGAAGTTAAGCACGTCAGTGACAGCATCCACTCTGCATCTTTGTACAACCGCTGGAATGGAATCTGTCGAGATGATGGCAACATCAAATCTGGTGAGGCCTGCACAGTTTCCTGATACTGCCATTTCCCCTCTTCTCAGGACCTAGTCAAACTATGCAGGCTTGATAACTTACATCCACAGATAATTCCAATCAGTCCTTTATGCAGGTTGTTAAGGGAGTCTCAGCAGCTTTCTAAATATAGATATATATGTATGTATGTGTATGAAAGTAGTAAGTTCTCTGAGAAAATTATTCAGTAATATTTTTCATTAAGGAGTTCTGCACTCTCCACTGAAGCATCTAGCAATAGTCACTCTCAGAGCTAGGTGTCTGGACTTGATAGACTACTGATCTGATGTAACATATAAATTTGTTCTGCTTGGCTGGGCCTTAAAAGCTGTTTATCTCCAAGTGGAAGGTCCATTGCTCACTTTGAACTCATCTTCTGCCCCTTCTCCCCTTACTAAAAGGTAACTTTTAGTAGCTGTCGTTCTAAAGAACTGAAAGCTTTGCTGAACTGGACTCTTAATGAGAAAGCGTTTACTGCTGACCCAATGCCTGCAGCAGCAATTGTGCTAACTTTGAGAGCTGCCCTTATCATAACAAGAAGCCTCTCTTGTTCTGGCCTTTTGGCAGCAGTGTTTTCTGGCTCACAGCTTGTTATATGGGTGGGACAAAATGCATCTGCCAAAGGAAAAATACAAAAGCTGTTCCTAAACATCACTTCTGTCAAAGGTTCAAATTCTGCCCCTAGTTACAACCAAAGGACCCCTCTTTAGGAGTGACCTTCTTTGGTGGCTAAGACAGACACTGAGAGGTGCGTGCTTTGGGCTGTTTACTGGTATCAACTGGCTGCTTTATCCTATTCTCACACCACCACAAACTAGCCAAAAATCCAGCAAAACTAGCTAGAGCAGCACAAAGAAGCTAAAGCATACAGGTGAACCTAAGCTGTTGCCTTTATTGTGATGCATTGTCATTGTTTGTAGGAAATATGTGTCTGTACTTAGTGAAAGGCAGGAGACATCTTAATCTTTTCTCATAAGTATCCAATTCAAGAAAAATACATTGCTTCTTGCAGTTGAATTTGAAGGTGTTTCTTTGCTCCCCTCTTTCAGATGTCTTCATGACTCAGTTCTCAGCCCTACAGACCTCCCGCTCTGTACGAACACGACGTTTGGCTGCAGCTGAAGAGAACGTTGAAGTGGCCCGTGCTGCCCGTCTTGCACAGATCTTCAAGGAGATTTGTGATAGCATCATCTCCTATAAAGGTGAATGTTACTCTGCTAACAGTGTCCATTGAGACCTTATCAGCTTCCTGAAAGAGGTGTTCTGAGTATAACATATTAAAAAGGAATGAACTTATTTCAGGAGTTTAAACACAAACCCTTCTGTTTTCCCTTCTACTGCTAGCCACCACTCCATTCTGAACAACTTCTTCCCCTTTCCCCAAGTCTACAGAAGGGGATGTTCTACAAAAGTGTGGTTGTTTTTGCTGCTTAGATTCAACTCTGATCCATTGTACAGAATCATGCTGTGATGTAGTTGACTGCCAGCACTCTATCTGCAAATATAGCACAACAGCCAACTTAAAACACTCAACATTTCTTTTACCTGTGTGTGAGGGCAGAAAGGGGCCCACTATTTTTTGAGTTGCATTTATTTGTTGCTTCTCTTTTTTTATAATTCTGCTGTGGCAACTGCTGCTAAAGTTTATCCTTCCTTTACAGACTCCTCTAGGCAGGCTCTTGCAGCTCCACTGCTGAACCTGCCCCCTAAAAAAAAGTAAGTTCTTGCCTCTCTGGTCCATGATTACTTATCACCAGTTTGCATAGCTTGGAAATTTTAGTGAAAATTTTGCTATAAATGCGCTCCTATTTCAGAAATGCAGATTACTATGAGAAGATCTCTGACCCACTGGACCTTGCCACCATTGAGAAGCAGATCCTGACCGGGTATTATAAAACAGTAGAAGCTTTCGATGGGGACATGCTGAAGGTCTTCCGAAATGCTGAGGTGAGGCTGCCTTAGGCCTTAGAGCTGCTATGCAGGCAGTGTAGATATGACCCAATATAATGGTCTTCTGTCACAAAAACCTGACAAGAACAGCATTATAAAAAGAGATTCCAATAATGCTTTTCTGCCAAACAGCATCGGTGCAGACAGTGACACTGGTATCTTGTTCACTTCAGCCTCTTCTCTTAACATTCTCCTACCACCTGGGGCCAAACATAAAAAAGGCTCAAAAAATCTGTGCAGACCTCCAATCTGAAGGGACCAGGATGCTTCCCAGACTAAATAATTTGTCCCTATACCTCTCTTTAGATATCTAAAGCACATGGGCATCAGATGTTCAAGAGCTGGCAAGGCAAGTGCTTCTGATACATGGACATATGGAGAGGATAAAGTGTATACATTTGCCCCACATGTACATGTAGCCCAGAGCAGTGGAAATGTGCAGAAGAGTGAACTGCTGCTTTTATTTTTTTTATCCAGAAGTATTATGGCAGGAAGTCCCCAATTGGGCGTGATGTATGCCGGCTGCGGAAGGCATATTACAGTGCTCGCCATGAGGCCTCTGCCCAAATTGATGAGATTGTGGGGGAAACTGCCAGTGAAGCTGACAGCAGCGAGACATCTGTCTGTGAAAAGGAGAACGGGCACGAGAAGGATGAGGATGTGATCCGCTGTATTTGTGGCCTTTACAAAGATGAAGGGCTGATGATCCAGTGTGAAAAATGCATGGTGAGGAGGAGAACCTTGGTCAATAAAGCCTGTACCCATAGCTCCCACATAGGTGAATCATCCCTTCCCTTCTCCAAAGAAAATTTGGATCTTCTGTTTCCACACAGAAAATACAGTTAGCATCACTAGGGAGAGGAGCTAATAATTTTGTTCAACTGCTAATAATCTTGTTAAACTGCTTGTTAAACTGTTCTCCAAAAAGAAGATAAAACTCCAGTAATGAGCCTCTGAACAGCCAGTTGCATACAGATCTTACTTTCCTGGGCATTGTATGAAATAGTTAAAAAGAAGCCCCAGGTTTCCTTTTGGGATGCTTGCCCTCATGCTTTCTTTAGTCTGGAATTGTTTTTAATCTATAAATTAAAACCCAGGTCTTCCTAATCAGGACATATCTTTGTAGGTTTGGCAACACTGTGACTGCATGGGTGTCAATTCAGATGTTGAGCACTACTTGTGTGAGCAGTGTGAACCTCGATCCGTCAGCAGGGTAAAACATTTTCAATTTTTTTTTTTTTTTTTGCAGCTCTCACACTTGTACGTTTTCATGTGCCAGGGTGTAACTAATGTTTTGGTAAAGAGGGACTTCTCACTGTTCTTAGTTTTGTGCTTGTATGCCACAATTTATAACTGTCAACAATATAATATAGCTTTCATATTAGTAACCAACATTCTTTATATCCCACGATAGAGGAAGAGAAATTCACAGGAAAGTTTCCCCATTTTCTAGGGCTGTGAAACCAGATAAGGCCAGTGTAGGACTGAGGCAAAGGGGGAATGGGTAAAGCTCAAGCATGACTGGACACCAGTCCAAGTTACCATCTCTTCAAATCTTGTTTAACTTTCTGTTAAATTTTAATTCTTGTTCTGTGTCCAGCTCTACCAAGTATTTCCAGAAGATAGGAAAGGTGGTTGGTAATAGCCCCAGGTCTGTACTGATTGTGTCGAATGATGGAAAGGAAGGGTCGGGCCATTTCATCAGTCTGTCTTCTTTCTTCCAGGAGGTCCCTATGATTCCTCGTCCCCATTATGCCCAGCCTGGCTGTGTTTATTATATATGTCTGCTAAGAGATGATCTGCTGCTGCGTCAAGGTGTGTCCATCCTCTGATGACAGTGGTGATTTCTGTCAGAGGGAAAGTGCAAAGAGCTCTCTGCTATAACCTTGATTCAGATGTATGCAACTTTATGAGTAGGAAATGGTGAACTTTGCTATTACAGAGGTGACAGAGTGAGGAAGCTGAGATCCTCAAGCTGATTGGTGAATATGCACTTAAGTATCTTGAGCAAGGGCTTCCTTCTGACCAGAGAGGGTGAGTGCTGAGATGGCTGCTAGGAGCAAATGCAAAAAGCAAGCCAAGGAAGGATGGAAGGGCTGCAGCCACATTAAACGAAAACACCTGTTAGTTCACTTAGCCTATCCTTTGCTCTGTACAACATATACTGACCCTTGGGGGCAGGTCTGTCCCTCTCACAGCTCAGTGTCAGGAGCTCTTTCTAGATACTGAACCTGAATTTTCTTTTTCTTAATTTCATCCCACAGATACAAGGTTAGAAAGAGGCCAATACATATAAAGAGAACTGCTCAAGAATGAGTAAAGCCAGTTGGTATGTTTGTCAAAGGGGGGTGGGAGATTTTTCAGGAGGGGGAGAGATACTAAAAAGAGTATGGGGGCGCTGAGCCTTCCCCATGCTGCATCTGGAGTGCTCATTCCCTCCACCCTTCAAATTCCCTCTGCAATAGTCACCTTGTCTGCATTAGAAATTCCTGGTTTGCTCTTCGTTGTAGTTTTTGTTGGTGGGTTGTTGGTTGGGGAATTTTGGGCTCCCAGGTTTGCTTCTGGTTTGTTTTTCAAGCACTTACGTATGTAGTTGTTTTGTGGAGGCACCGACAACTGTACTAAAACAATTAGGTGAACTGTGAACAACCCATTCATAGGTGCATTGAGATTAAGATGAGAAGGAATCACTAGACTGTCCAGTTTGCCCAAGTATCTCTGCATCAAGTTCAATTACTTTAATTAGACCAGAGGAGTTCTGTCTTTAGAAGCCTCAATCAATTGCTCTGAGAACAAGAGAGACCAAGGCTCCTGCAGTGACAAGGTTTTGGTTAGGTGAGAGAAGCCCAGGTAATACCAGCAAGCAAATACACATCCCAAACTGCAGAACAAGGTGAAAGGCCCCAAAGTCTTTGCCAGCCTGGCCTGGATCAGATCAGAAAGCAGGGTAGAGATGCACCTTATGCATCTCTGATTTAGTCAGTCTATACGATGCATCTCTACTGTGCCTTCGTTCAGTCTGGCTACTGACTAACATGGCTACCTTTCTGGATCAGATGATCCAATCCTTCCTAACCTCAAATCTGGGGATCAGTTTGACTGTGAGCATACAAATGAGATGCATAGATCAGGCATCTAAGAGAGGATTCTTTGCACCACTTCAGAGCACTGCTGTACCCCAGCCCATGTCCGCTGTCTAACTGTCACTAATATCTGATGCTTCAGAGAGAGGTGAAACGCACACCATATATCTAGCCAATTGCACATCAGGGAAGAAAATCCTTCCTGACTGCTGCCAAGTGATGGTGAGTCCAGCACCACCCCAGGTGAGGAGTTCCATCCTCACTGCACAGAAACTCTTCTTTTGAGGTTGAATTTCAAGTTCTAGACACTGCATCTTATTATTGTGCCTTTGTCAGCAAGACTGAAAAGCCTCCAGCTATCAGATCTTTTTTACATGTAAGTACCTGAACACAATAATTAAGACACCTCTAATCCTACTCTGCAATAAACAGAATAGGTTAAGTTCCTTAATCCTCACACTTGAAACTTCTTTTTCATTCCCTGGATGATTCCACTGCAGGCTGTTTACAGTCAGGGGCTGTCACAACAGATTTTCCAATACTCAGGGCCAGAAAACTCTGGAAAGAAAATTGATGGTGTTGGGAGTTGCAGCTTACAGAATGAAGTAGGATTTCCCAGAAGCCTGGCATGAGATCCACCCAGACCTTGGGATGCTCTGAGGGATAGGAAGCTTGGTATGGAGACTCCCCTGCATGTGCTGAGCCGGTCAGGACCTGCTCCTGCCCCACAACAGCCCAAATCCTGCATGCCCTGAG